GATTGTGCATTTGTGCGTGCATAAGTTTGATCGTGCATTTGTGCGTGTATAAATTTGATTGTGCATTTGTGCGTGCATAAGTTTGATCGTGTATTTGTGCGTGCATAAATTTGATTGTGCATTTATGCGTGCATAAGTTTGATCGTGCATTTGTGCGTGCGAAAGTTTGATCGTGCATTTGTGCGTGCGAAAGTTTGATCGTGCAATTGTGCGTACGAAAGTTTGATCGTGCATTTGTACGTGCGAGTCCTCATATGTGTGCATCAGTTTGCATACGTGTGGTTGTCTACGGTTCCTGAGTTCCTCTTTGTCTGTGTTTAGGATTGTAACATGTTACTAACCTGCAACTGCAGCCCATAAGCTGCGAACGCCCCACTGGCCAATGGTATACCCAATATGTTATAGACGGACGCGAACAAAAAGTTGAGTCGTACTCTTCGAACCGTCGTTCGTGACAATTCTAGGCACGCTACTACGTCTAGGAGATCGTTCTAGAATAAAAAAAAAAACAAAACATATGCCAGGCTCCTAAAATCTCTTCTAAAAAGAGGGGTTTAAGGTTGATTGATGGGCATTTTAGAATTCTTCGAAGAGTTTTGTCGCCCTTCTCTGAAATCTGATTAAGCGCTGCTACTAACTGAAACCAGAACCTTCTAAGGGAAGTAAATGTTCTTTTATTTTAATTAAGCAAACTGTACCTTTAAAACTATACTAAACACTGACTAGGATAATCTCTGTGACACTTCATTTGACGTTTGTCATAGGGATGAGGCAAACTCGATAGATTTTTTAATGTATTAAATTTTTTCAAGCGACCGTTCTCTCTTATATAGTTAAGAGATAAAAGTGAACGCATTCTTTGGTTATGACTGATATGTAATGAATAATTATAGCATAATATTACTAATTATTGCGTTCTAATATCATGGAACTCTTGATGAATAATCTTATTAATTTAATCGTCAGATAAGCAAAGAACAATGGCAAAATCATATGAAATAGCAATATAGTCCTGCTTCCCCTCGGGTGAACCTTCTTAGACATGGAAGTTTCATCACGAATTATTTTGTTGTATTCAATATTCTCAATGGAGAGGCAACCGTTCTTCTTATATTAGAAACAAATATAATCCAGACCGATCGCCTTACCCTCATGAGTACTAAATCGGCGGCTTCTACAGCGACGTCGGTCCCGCTGGCGATGGCGATGCCGACGTCTGCCTGCGCCAGCGCCGGCGAGTCGTTGACGCCGTCGCCGACCTGCAAAAACAAATAAACGGAGGTAATTTATCAACTTTTAACGAACACGGAAGCACGATGTGTTGCGCTTGCTTACCATGGCAACTTTGAGTCCCTGTTCCTGCAATTTCTGTATTTTGGCCACTTTGTGAGAGGGTAGTACTTCTGCGTATACTTTATTTATTCCCACCTGAAACAGAACATAGGCTACATTTATTACAACGAAGAGACAGGGAAAAGTAAAAAGAAAGAGAGAAAATTGGGAACCACCATCATCACCATCACTTTTGGCATGGGAAATGTCGGACTGAGTTCAAGTTTGCGGAACTACGCGAACGGTTGGCACACGTGTCATGCAACCTAAGCACGTCTACTGTATTTATTGATCTGTGTTGCCTAAAGTAATATCAATAAAACATGTTAGTAACACAGTTCACAAAATGTCGCTATTAACAACGAAAGTAAGAGAGTACAAAAAAGAGATGCGGGTCGTTTTCCCAGACACCATGCCATTAATGACATTGTGCGACGGGCGATGGTGTCGGCTAATGTCCCTGGCGTGCTCGAGCCCCCGGGCCTGAGTCGAATAGACGGTAAAAGGCCGGACGGTTTGACATTGGTTCCTTGGCGGAAAGGTCGTTGTCTTCTGTGGGACGCAACATGCGTAAGTACTTTTGCTGCGTCCCACATAAGACAAACTTCGCAGATGGCGGGTTCCGCGGCGGAAAGTGCCGCGAAACTAAAACACGCGAAATATTCTGCCTTGGAGCCTGTGTACGACTTTGTACCGGTCGCGGTCGAGACGGCGGGGCCTTGGGGTTCGGAAGCTCGGGACCTATTTAAAGAGTTGGGTCGCCGACTCAGAGACAGGGGCTGCGATCACCGCTCTGGGTC